GTTCCTCCACCAAGACTCCAGTTCCTCCACCAAGACTCCAGTTCCCACACCAAGACTCCAGTTCCTCCACCAAGACTCCAGTTCCTCTACCAAGACTCCAGTTCCTCCACCAAGACTCCAGTTCCTACACCAAGACTCCAGTTCCTCCACCAAGACTCCAGTTCCTCCACCAAGACTCCAGTTCCTACACCAAGACTCCAGTTCCTCCACCAAGACTCCAGTTCCTACACCAAGACTCCAGTTCCTCCACCAAGACTCCAGTTCCTACACCAAGACTCCAGTTCCTCCACCAAGACTCCAGTTCCTACACCAAGACTCCAGTTCCTCTACCAAGAGTCCAGTTTCTCCACCAAGACTCCAGTTCCTCCACCAAGACTCCAGTTCCTCCACCAAGACTCCAGTTCCTCCACCAAGACTCCAGTTCCTACACCAAGACTCCAGTTCCTCCATCAAGACTCCAGTTCCTCCACCAAGACTCCAGTTCCTCTACCAAGACCCCAGTTCCTCCACCAAGACTCCAGTTCCTCCATCAAGACTCCAGTTCCTCCACCAAGAGTCCAGTTCCTACACCAAGACTCCAGTTCCTCCATCAAGACTCCAGTTCCTCCACCAAGACTCCAGTTCCTCCACCAAGACTCCAGTTCCTCCACCAAGACTCCAGTTCCTCCACCAAGACTCCAGTTCCTCCACCAAGACTCCAGTTCCTCCACCAAGACTCCAGTTCCTTACACCAAGACTCCAGTTCCTCCACCAAGACTCCAGTTCCTCTACCAAGACTCCAGTTCCTCCACCAAGACTCCAGTTCCTACACAAAGACACCAGTTCCTACACCAAGACTCCAGTTCCTCCACCAAGACTCCAGTTCCTCCACCAAGACTCCAGTTCCTCCACCAAGACTCCAGTTCCTCCACCAAGACTCCAGTTCCTCTACCAAGACTCCAGTTCCTCCACCAAGACTCCAGTTCCTACATCAAGACTCCAGTTCCTCCATCAAGACTCCAGTTCCTCCACCAAGACTCCAGTTCCTCCACCAAGACTCCAGTTCCTCCACCAAGACTCCAGTTCCTCCACCAAGACTCCAGTTCCTCCATCAAGACTCCAGTTCCTCCACCAAGACTCCAGTTCCTCCACCAAGACTCCAGTTCCTCCACCAAGACTCCAGTTCCTCCACCAAGAGTCCAGTTCCTCCATCAAGACTCCAGTTCCTCCACCAAGATTCCAGTTCCTCTACCAAGACTCCAGTTCCTCCACCAAGACTCCAGTTCCTCCACCAAGACTCCAGTTCCTCCACCAAGACTCCAGTTCCTCCACCAAGAGTCCAGTTCCTCCATCAAGACTCCAGTTCCTCCACCAAGATTCCAGTTCCTCTACCAAGACTCCAGTTCCTCCACCAAGACTCCAGTTCCTCTACCAAGACTCCAGTTCTTCCACCAAGACTCCAGTTCCTCCACCAAGACTCCAGTTCCCCCACCAAGACTCCAGTTCCTACACCAAGACTCCAGTTCCTCCCCCAAGAGTCCAGTTCCTCCACCAAGACTCCAGTTCCTCCACCAAGACTCCAGTTCCTACACCAAGACTCCAGTTCCTCCCCCAAGAGTCCAGTTCCTCCACCAAGACTCCAGTTCCTCCACTCGCTAAATAAATAACTTAGCACAGGCATGTCCAAAGTCCGGCCCATGGGCCAATCACGGCCCGTGGTCAGATTTCATACGGCCCGCAGCTTCGGTCTTATAATGTGTTATTTATGGCTCGTTAGCTCTGTCAGAATAAATAAATCATAAAACTTTAAAGCTGTAATTCCTCCTTTCACCACACGATGGCAGCACCATCCTAATGCTATCTGGCTCTGCATCCGTGCCGAGAACCCTTCTCGAATCATTTCTGCCATGGCGACTGCAAAAAAAAGAGAAAAGTTGACAGGAGCGGTGGGAATTACAATACTTCACTGAAAATCGAGGCAATTGTGTTTGTCTACTTTGTAAAGAGACGGTTGCCTTGTTTAAGGATTTCAACATAAAGAGACACTACGAGACTAAACATGCTACAACATACGACAAGCTAACAGGGAATGACCGCGCTGAAATAGTGAAGCAACTCCAAGCTGCTCTGGCATCGCAACAGCGATTCTTCACGCGGGCCTGTGAGTCAAAGGAAAACATCACCAAAGCCAGCTACGAAGTGGCCATGTTAATAGCTAAACATGGCAAACCTTTTACTAAAGGTGCATTTATATCAAAGATTGTCATGAAAATGGTGGAGAACATTTGCCCCGAGAAGAAGCAAGAATTTATTCATGTTTGCCTGGCACGCAACACTGTGGCACAGAGAGTTGAGGACATATTGTCAGATATTCAAAGACAACTGGGGGACAGGAGAGTGGCTTTTGATTATTTCTCATTACCCTGCGATGAAAGCACTGATGCATCTGACACTGCACAACTACTTATTTTTTAAAGAGTTGATGACAACATGAACGTGACAGAGGAGCTGCTTGACCTCAAAAGCCTTAAAGGGCAAACCAGAGGAACAGGTTTATTCGCTTCTGTTAGTGAAGCTGTTGATGATATGAAACTACCATGGAGTAAAGTTTCTGGGATCATTACCGATAGTGCGCCTGCCATGGCTGGTGAGCGAAGTGGATTGTCCACACTGATCTGCAATAAAGTCAGCGAAGAAGCAGGTAACGCTATTAAACTTCACTGTATCATTCACCAGCAGGCTCTCTGCGCCAAACATCTCAAATTTGACGATGTTATGAAACCAGTGGCAAAGGCAATCAATTATATTCGCTCTAAAGCTCTATCCCACCGACAGTTTCAGCAGTTCTTGCGTGACATCCAGGCTGAATACGGTGACGTAATATATCACAACGATGTGAGGTCGCTAAGTCGGGGGTCCGCACTGCAGCGATTTTTCTCTCTCAAAGAGGAAATTGGACATTTTTTGGGTGAGAAGGGACAACCAATGGAAGAACTGTCCGATCCTGTATGGCTGGCAAATTTGGCTTTTTTGGTTGACATAACGAAGCATCTGAATGCACTGAATGTTAATCTTCAAGGAAAAGATGCAGTGGGGAGCCTGCTATACGCTCACATCAAGGCCTTTGGAACCAAACTGCAACTTTTCCAAAGACATTTGTCCCAAACAGAGCCCTGCACCGCACACTTCCCAGCTTTGAAAGAGGTCATTGACAGTTTCCCACAGGACAACATCGATGCGCAAATGAAGAGTTATGCAACAGCTATTGCATCTCTTTCTGTGGAATTTAACAAACGCTTTCGGGACTTTGCAGTTATTGAAAAGGACATGTTGCTTTTCTCTTCTCCCTTCTCCGTGGACCCTGATGATGCTCCTCCACAGCTGTGACGATAAGTGCCGCGGAAAACACCAGGAGTGTTCTCTTGTTGACTTTTACCGGCAGCTGGACAAAAGCAGGTTTCCAGAAATGCGGTCATTCGCTAAGAAAATGCTGAGCTTATTCGGCTCCACATATTTGTGTGTGCAAACATTCTCAGTCATGAACTTAAACAAGAACCGATTGAGGTCAAGGATGAGTGACTCCCACTTGCGTGACATTTTACGCTTCTCAACCACTGCCCTCAAGCCAGACCTGTTTTATTTTTATTATTTTATTATTTCCATTCTACGTGACTTTACCGAAAGAATCAAGAAGATGAATCCCTGCAGTCACGAAAGCTTTAAATCGAAATCAGACCTGGTCTGTTTTCTGAAATATAGATCTCAGTATCACCCTTCTCATTAGTGTCAGCAAGTTATCTGTTCCTTGATCAATCTGAAATTGAGTCTTTTGAACGGTAACATCTGTCACTATTAACAGTGAAAAGCCTAAAGCACACTAATGCACTTGGACTTATGGCACTTTTTTTATTAAACTCTTGAATAAGATTAGGTTATAACTGTTGATGTTATGTACCTGTAGATGTGACACAAACTATTGATTTCTGAAAGATCTTGTAAAAGACAAGGGCAAAATTAACTTGTTTTAAAGTGTAATGATAACAAACCACTTTGCATTACTTATAACTCCTGTTTAAAATGCTCATGAGGCAAAGATATTTAACTCATGGAAATGTAAGGTATTCTATACAGTTTGTTCAATGTTATCTGACTGAATGAAAGGCAGAATTTTGTTTTTAGAGTTATTCACGTCTGCCTGAGTGGCTTATATTTGGCTACATTGTCATTTGAAAAATAAAGGTAATTGTGACAATGACAATTGTTTTCTAACAGTGTATATTTTCACGTAACTTTTGTGGTTTAAAAAATGTCAGAAGGAACTATTGACCCCCGGGCATCTTCACTTTATCAAATTTGGCCCTCTTTGCAAAAAGTTTGGACACCCCTGACTTAGCGAGCGTCCATGTTGGTTAAGTTATTTAGTGGGCGTCCATATTGGTTAAGTCATTAACACAAAGCGGTGCTCCAATCAACCTGAGCACAGTGATAGTATTAGGAAGCCACTGGAGCTATGCACTTTTAAATCTCATTGGAAACGAATTTCTTTAGAACCGCATTTAGTTTGTTATCCTTCCCCTGCACCTCTGATTAGCACGGTTGGCTAAGTACAGTGCAAAATAAGTTCAATGTACAGTGCAGCAATATCTCATCAACTACAATTTTGCCAACCATGGTTTCGAGTATTAATGCACAATATTACGTGTACCATTTTTGCCAACCACGGTACAGCGTTTTGCATAACCACGGTTTGGTTTTCCCTGCTACCCTTGATTAAGATGTAATTTTAGATATTTGTAATCCACTTAATTCTCTTTTGAGAAGCAGAGTGGATCGCGTCCATTCCTCCTTCAAAGAAGTGAAGACAGCAGCAATGGAGGAGTGTCTACAATGTGGTCAATGGTTTGATGCACCATTTGTGCATCAGGTGGCTGCATCGGCCACGTGTTGATTCGGTTGATAGTCGACCATTGGCGGTGCAGAAGGTTGAAACCGGGCGATTCGACGACAGGATCGCTGAGTGAGAGATGTTATGCCGGCCGCAGTCCAGACTTGCTTCCGTCTCTCGCCTTCATTTGTATTTGTGGCGTAGAGTGAGGCTGCTGATGTGATCCGGAAGGGGTGATGTATGTTTCAAATCTCCAGCAGTGTTCAAGCATCTACCACACCAGGGGCGCATCAAGCGCTTGTTACCCATCACGCTTGCCCTGCGTGCCACCGTGATGAGGGTTACAAACTGAGTAATCATTGGAAAGATGTGATTAACCATGCAAAAAAGATGTAACTACACTTATTTGGACCATCTTATTTGACAGACAACTATTACAGGTTATTGATAGACAGCCAGTTTGTTGTTATACCATTTTTAGTTTTTACTTGCTTTCTTTTTCCACACTTTTGTTATGTATGCTAGGTGTTAGTTACAAACCGCACCTCTCCATAACAAAGGCTCAGCCCTTTGTTATGCAGTCTATTCTTAGTCTTAAGCCTCACCTTACCATATTAATAAAAAGTGTGCCGTTCCTGGCCCTTCCCCCCTCAACCATTATATATACGGGGTGGTATTTCTTGTGATCTCTCATTTACTTGATACAGCTGTCGTGGCTGTGACGGTTCCACCTGAAGACGGAGGCTTGTGTTGCTTCCGAAACGTCGTGATTTTTTATTTTGTTTTATTTTACTTTTATTTATTTACATTTTTTACCTACGTGACTTTACCGAAAAAACCTAAGAATTTGTACCCTAACTACTGTGCAATGCTACTATTTTTTTCGTCCCCTTAATCATGCCCCCTCCCCCACAAGCATCAGTGGTGGTGAAGGTGAAGCGTAATGTGAAGAAGAGGGCAAGGAGAGGGTTGTGGTTGAGCTTGCTCGATCGTCTCGCGCGTGGAGAGACTGTGGCGTCGGTAGGACGTCATCTGAGCTGTGTGAGCGGAGTGCAACCTCCCCCCCATCCCCTAACATCATCGTCATCAGCAGCGTCACTGTCAACGTTATCTGGACTTCACTATTGATATTAAAGGTTATACTGGTAGGAACGAAGTGAACCAGCCTACAATAGATTATATCGTCCATCCGTCCGTCCGTGTAGCGACATCGCCCCCTACTGCAAACACTTGGCAGGACCCTACAAAAACCTTTAGACTCAGTGACGCTTTCCTGGCTAAACAAGTGTAACATTCCCTTATAATTCCCTGAGATAGCTTTTAATTAAAACATTTAAATAAAAAATTCACTCACAGCGGCATCAAGCCTACAGCTAGGCCTAAAGCCTAGAACTAGGCCTCAAGCTCTCCCTTCGTGTCGTACCCCCGCGTGTGTGAAAGGGAGTTAATGTTTAACAATGTTACATTCCCTGATGTTTTTAAATAGAAACATTTAAATTTAAAGCTTTTACATAAATAATTAAAACATTTAAATTAAAAATTAACTCACAGCGGCCTAAAGCCTACAGCTAGGCCTAAAGCCTAGAACTAGGCCTCAAACTCTCCCTTCGTATCGTACCCCCGCGTGTGTGAAAGGGAGTTAATGTTTAACAATGTTACATTCCCTTATGTTTTTAAATAAAAACATAAAAATTTAAAGCTTTTACATTAATAATTAAAACATTTAAATTAAAAATTAACTCACAGCGGCCTAAAGCCTACAGCTAGGCCTAAAGCCTAGAGCTAGGCCTCAAACTCTCCCTTCGTATCGTCCGATTCGGTGTAGCAACATCGCCCCCTACTGCAAACACTTGGCAGGACCCTACAAAAACCTTTAGTCTCAGTGAGGCTTTCCTGGCTAAACAAGTGTAATAATACATTATGTTTATATTCTTTGGTTATTCGTTCCTACCAGCCCACCCCGCAGGGTCCTGTTAAAATGTATTTTTTGTTCACGATGAATGTAAAAATGTTATATTGTTCATACAGAGTCACTGTGTGTTTGTATAGTACTGTATATCTTTCTCAAGTTTACTGAATGCGTAGGATGCGGTAGCTAGGCTTCAATACGAGCATCAACAGCGACTGCGGAACCTAACCCCTATTTTCCATCCGCCTTTAGTCTTGCCGACCACGGTTTTGCCAATCGCAGGTCGGCAGGGGCAGGGGTTTCAGGGGCCTAACCCCCACGGTTGGCGAGGGATTGCTGCGAGCCAACCTTACCACGTAAGTCAGCGGTGGGGAACCTTTTTTCTGCCAAGGGCCATTTGGATATTTATAACATCATTCGTGGGCCATACAAAATTATCAACTTAAAAATTAGCCTGTTATATTTGGTCAAACATTGAATAACTCACCCCTAATGTGATGGCTGGAACTGCTTCTCTTTGGCGAGGCCGTGTGATGTAGGCTGGTGTTGATGATGTTGCTGCTACTTGCAGATGCTTTTCCAGGTTTGCTCCGAGATTTATTGAATTTCGAGTCCCGCCTGCGGTTGCCTTGGTAGGGCCACACCAAATGATTTCGCGGGCCGGACGTTCCCCAGCCGTGGTGTAAGTGAACCACTGTGGTCTTCTGCTCCTTCAACGGAAGAGGAACATGAGAACGACACGGAACTCCCTCGCGGAAACCCTCTCGTCACAGCCAGCAGATGTTGGCGTTTAGCTTCTGAACATATTGCGGCCATCGTGTGCAAGAATACTGTAGAATAGAATCCTGTTCACTTCATCTCAAGGAAAGTTGCGCTTAGGAGTTATTGGCCCTCAAGGCTCTTAGCTGATGGACCTCGATGTGGCTTTGTGTCATTTATTTTGGTCAGAAGAAAAAAAAACAGAACTCTTGCCCCGTGTAAATGTTGTTCATTAACGACAGTGAATGCCAGTCCATATAAAGTTCAATTTTCAAGTTTATTTAGTTCAATCAGTTGAGCACTTTTGTACATGTGGGTGTGTGTGGGTTGGGAGGTCTGTGGGTTTATTTGTATTGTGTAGTGTTCGTGGTTGGGCGTGCAGTTGATCACCCACCCCCTCGTGTGCCATTCCAGCCTTCATGAAGTGTTCACGAACTGCACTCGTCCCAACAGTCCGTTAAAGGCTATATGGGGTATCTTTGTCTTTATCTTCAACAGGTCTGGGAAATTGTGTTCGTATTCTTTGTTTCGACAGGCTCTGAATGAAACACAGGGCAGTAACAATCAGTACCACACAACCACTACAACTACAATCGTATACGTAAATGACTGAGCACATCGTCCGTTTTCGTAGGGGGCCGTCCATAAAAGACGTCACGCGATTTTGGCCGATTTTTGACCCCCCCCCCTCATCCCACGGCGTCACAAAAAGTCAGACCCCTCCTCAAATTTGACGTCACAAAGCTCTCCCCCCCACTAGCCCATAATTCCATTTTGAAAATAAAACATGCTTCAAATCACTTTAAACTATTGCCATTGTAGTGCGTATTTAATGTGGCGCTGCACTCTGATGTTGTAGGAGAAAACATTTATTAAAAAGGAGGCGTTGGAAAGCTGAAATTTTGCATAAAATTCACTTGAAAATATTCAACGTCTAAGTAAAACTGCAGATGTTCAGAATATTATATTGAAATTCTTTTATAATTATAAATTATTAAAAGTAATTATAACTATAAAAAATACTTGAAACTTTGTAGTAGAACAAAGAAAAATGGAGAATACAATTATAACAATCACATACATATTAATTCCACAGAATGAAAAGCCCTGGTAGAATAATTAAAATCTAAATGTTTAATAACAATCATTACATTTTTTTACAAAATATATGCTTCTCCATTATCCCATGGAGAAGCAAAATGTTCCTTCATGGAATAAATAAAAGGTGACCTTAGTAAATTTAAATAATCTAATAGTTAATAATGAAAATTAATAAAAATTAGTGTTGGTTGTTACAACAATTATATTGTTTATATTTATTTAAAGCTGCGCATTTTGATGTGACGTCGCATTTCTCAAACCCCCCTCCCCCCCTCGTCACACATCGTCACAAATGTCTGACCCCCCTCCCCCCTAGGTGTGTGACGTCATTTATGGACGGCCCCTAGCCAATATTACGATTCATTATTTTTTTTTAGTTTTTGGCCACGTAGAAGTGATCTGGCCAAATTTGTATCATGAAACCCTCCACCACCCGACAGCCAAACAAAATACGTCGTCACTCATTGCTGGAGGAGCAATGCTCGTGCTAAAAAGTTTGGTGTTGAGGATTGTTTACAAACTCACTCACCAGTGAGTTGAACTGAAATAATAGTAATTGGCGCCTCATTCAACGCTTGTGCACCGAGTGACAATGTCATATCTTAACTGTGTCGGGTGGTGGAGGCTTTCACGTCACGTATTTTTGGTCCAATCGTTACCACGCGGACTAAACCAAACATAAATGATTAGGCTAATTGGACAAAACACGCCAGTAGTGTTACCGTGGATGCTGCACCTATGCTCGCCCCATCTGCTGCCGCTTCTGCAGCTGCTGCTGGAAACGGCGCAGGTTGCGCCGCAGCGCTATTATAGCGACCCGCTTGCTTCTGCGCAGCGCGACGCCAAATGCAGGGCGACAGCGACGTCTGTGCCATGCGTCACCAGCGCCAGCACCGACAACAGCGCCAGCCCCGGCGCCATCCCCAGCCCCAGCACCGCCCCAGGCACCAGCCACGGCATCAACCAAGGCACCAGCGCCGGCCACAGCCCCAATGTCCACACCACCATCTCCGGCCGCGTGGTTCGCAAATCGCCGCTGCAGCTGAGGGCCTGGTATGCGGAAATCACCGCCGGCGAAAACGTCCATGGAGGCGTCCATGTGGAAGGATCTTGGACTGTGCACACGAGTTCCGCTCTGTAAGCAAAGTGAGCGAGAGCACACAGCGCCACTGTGACCTCACGCGGGCCTTGTGGTGTCACGTGGGCCTTGTGGCGCCACGTGGGCCAGAGATGTCACGTGGACCTGAGATGTCACGTGGGCCTGAATTGTCACGTGGGCCTTGTGATGTCACATGGACCTTAGTTGCCACACGGGGGTAGATCAACTGAGTGAACTCTGTATTGCAAGTCCAGCATGCAAACCATCACACCGCAGTGGCAGCAACACCATTCACTTGAATAAATCTCGACCAAAGTTGCTGCTGGGAATTATTGTCCCAGAAATGTCAATTGGCTGATTGGCCTGCATCTTGTTTTACTTAACTTGTTTGGCAACAACAACAATGAATGTCAGTCCACATCAAGCTGAGGTCGCATGTCTGGCTTGTTAAACCGGGTGTGAACTGAAGAGACCAGTACGAGTCTCAATTGGGTCACCAGAATGAAAAAAAAACTACTTAATTACAAAGTACTGAGCAAGACAAGCGAATAGAAACCGGCACGAAAACAAATACATGACAAAATAGATAGGAAATACTACACACGCACAAATAAGCATTCGATTAAATACATTTCTTGCAACGAATATTGGGTCGGACAAATCGCTTTAAAAACATTGACAGCGAAGTTAAGTCACGGAGCCATTGAGAATGGAGACGAGAGTGATTATTGCTCTGTGCAAACAGACGGGGACATATGGTAAATAAAGCTGTCGCACAGAATCCACAGCTCGGCATCACCTTGTGATTTAGACAACCACTGGCTTCCCCGGGACAGCCACACTGAGTCCGTAGACTCTTTTTTCAGGAGGGTCCTGCTAACATTGGAATCTTTGGCCAACACCAATGGCGTTGTGTCCACGTGGTTAGCTGTGCGAGGAAGCCAGAAGGCCCGGGGGGAATCCCATGCAAAACGTGGAGACAACACACACACGCCACCCGCTCAACTCACTCGCACTCAGAATATAAGATCCCTCGTATAGCCTTCACCAAGTTGTTTTGTCTCCCTCATGGAGATGTCTATGCATCGCACCAGGTACTCATTTAAGGCTGAGTTGACCTAGGGAAAGACCAGGACCGGTTTCAGATATGTATCAATGACGTTGGCCGTGAGTGGGAATCGAACTCAGGTGGCGGGGTTCGTACGGCAGTGCGCTAAGCACGACACCACCGCTCCCCACACACTCAAAGGAACAGGAGGAGAGGACACATACAATCGCCACACAGAATGGACGTTCCAGTAGGGAATCAAACCCAGGTGCCTCTTGCTGCGAGGCACGAGCATCGCCACTGCACCCCCACCAGCCTGCCACCCAGGTGGAAGGATATGTTTGAAGCGATGGAACACCAGGTAACTGGGGCATTAGCAGAATTTACTAATCTAGATCTGAGCAATAGAATCAGGCGTTTTTGTCCAAGGTGCAATCCACTTGAGTGGCATGGGCCATCGAGGATGCCCAGGGTTTGGGTCCTGCATGAACCCTCCTGTGCACAGGCGGCAGACACATCGCGGTTGAACACGGAGGACGCTTTCGCGACCACTATCATCCATAATATAGGTGCTTTGGGCTAGATCGCGTCAATATATAAATGTGTCGTTAAACCAGCCACCACGCGACACAGCCAACTAGTACAGTACGGCTTAGGGGCCGTCCATAAATGACGTCACGCGATTTTGGACGATCCCCCCCCCCACCATCGTCACACGGCGTCACAAAAAGTCAGACCCCCCCCCCTCAAATATGACGTCACAAAGCTCTGCCCCCCCCCAAAACAAATATAAAACATGCTTCAAATCGCTTTAAACTATTGTCATTGCAGTGCGTATTTAATGTGGCGCTGCATTCTGATGTTGTAGGAGAAAACATTTATTATAAAGTCTATTTAATTAAGTAGAACGTGTTGTCTATATTTATTAAAAGTTGCGCATTTTGATGTGACGTCACATTTCTCAACCCCCCCCCCCATCGTCATAAATGTCTGACCCCCCCCCCCTAGGTGCGTGACGTCATTTATGGCCGGCCCCTTATCACGTAAACAGAACGTGGCCAATTCGTGACGAGTAACAGCACACACCGGTGTGTCGGAGAGCCAACATTTACAATCGAGAGCGACACTTCGCCAGCAGCAGCAGCAGTGACGCGTCGTAGTGTGGCACACACGCTCAGTCGCCACCAGAGGGCGTCCGTTTCAAATCGGATGTGTCTTGTGACTTGCAAAGGGCACATGCTGTGTGTTCATGCTGCAGTTAAAAATCATCATTGGCGTCGTTGTTGGAGAGTATAAATCAAGGCCGTAGCCATGGAGTCAACATTGGGGGGGATCAAATCTTTCAGGAGGTGTGGGGGTCCCCCCCCCAGAAAAAAATATCTAAATTTTAAAACGAATTTCCTGCCTAAAATATAAAAAAATTCACTAAAACATAGGATGGACTTTTAATATTTTTTTTACAATAATGTCTAATAGTGTATTGTAATACATTGCCCTGTTTTCATCTGTTTTACCTTTTCTTGTTTCATTGCGTATAATGGCAGAGAAATTGGGAATTAATAAAGTACAACCATAACCACAATCATATAAACAGAAATCTATTTTATAGCAATAAATTGGGGGAGACATTTTGAGCATATTTGAATATTGAGGGGTGTGTGTGTGTCCCCAATATCAATTATAGTTACCGCCTTGGTTCACTCTGCAAGAAACCGGTTCGTGCTGTACTTGGAACGAATTGGCCACGTTTCGTTTACGTGGCAAACCTTGCTAAGTGGCTGTGTCGGGTGGCGGCGGGTTTAACGACACATTTATATTGACGCGATCCAACCCAACAAAAACCTCGATTGTAAAGCCGAGGGCGACCACGGGGGTCAACAAAACAACCGCTCCCACACGCTCCGTGGCATAGCGAGTCGATTTAAGGGTCGAGGGGGGGGGGACTGGGTTGCCAACACCACGCCCGGCTGCCTTTGTCTCCCCCAGTGTTACATGTTTTACAAACCGCGACAGCAGGTTACTCTTCTTGGTTCTTTCGGTAAAGTCACGTAGAAGGGAAGTAATAAAATAATAAAAATAAAACATAATAAAACAATTCTCACGACGTTTCGGCCACAACGCAAGCAGCCGTCCTCAGGTGAAGAATGAGACAATGCCAAGCTAGGAGCTTATATATAAGCTGCGTTGGAGGTGGAAGAAAGAGCGCCTTAACAAAAGAATGTGCATATGAAGAGGAATTTAGCATATACATGAAAAATGCGTAGGAGGTGGGCGGGGGGGTTTCAAAGTCATATTATGCCCATGCATTATGCAGGATCAACAGCACCAAGGGGGGGGGGGGTGCAGGGATTAGCAGTAACAAAGGAAAGGAATGTTAATGATATGTAGCTGCAGTTACTCAACAACCACGTAGAAAACTAAAGTATAAACTACATAAAAAACGAAAGTATAAATTGCATAGCAATTTTGTCCGAAATCCTACGGCCTTTCACTGGAAAAACCACCTCTGCAGTACTAAACTCTACTGACCTGGTATCGACAATCAAGGGGATTGCCCTGTCCCCAGACGACCTGCTTGTCAGTTTTGATGTGGTTTCCTTGTTCACCAAGGTGCCTGTGCCTGACACCATCGCAATCATTGAAGACTTGGTTCATCAAGGACTGAATGCTGGGGTACCCCCCCTGGTGAGACACTGATTAACCAATACATACTTCACCTGGAATGGAACCTTCTACAAGCAAATTGAGGGCACCCCAATGGGCTCCCCCCTATCTCCGGTTGTAGCCAACATCTTCATGGAGAAATTTGAGACGGACGCCATCCAGACTGCCACTCTACGCCCGACCTTATGGAAGAGGTACGTAGACGACACTTTTGTCATCTGGCCACATGGCCGGCCTGCTCTAGACCAATTTCTCGACCACATCAATTCCATACACCCAGCCATCAGATTCACCATGGAAGTCGAAAATGATGGCAAGCTACCCTTTTTGGATGTCCTAATCAAAAGGAGACCTGATGGTTCAATGAGCCACTCTGTCTACAGGAAAGCCACCCACACGGATGCTTATCTAAAACCGGATTCCCACCACCATCCATCCCAGAAGAATTCCCTCATCAAGACTCTATATCATAGAGCCCAATGCATCTCCGACCATGAACACATTTCCAGTGAACTCAAACACGTACGCCAAGCTCTTAAGGCTAATGGTTACTCCGACTACACAATCCGCAAAGCCATCACTCCAACCATCAAGAAGGATCCTGTTGAGGAGCCTTTCAAGACCATCACCTTACCCTACATTGCTGGGGTCACAAAAAAGATCTCCAAAATCCTGATTAAACACAAGATCCAGGTCCGATTCAACACAGTACATAAAATCCGTGATCTGGTACCTTCTGTAAAAGATGTGGTTCCAGACATACAGTACCCTGGCGTCTACAAACTAAGTTTCCTCTGTGGTAGCAGTTACATTGGAGAAACCAAACGACATGTCTCGGACCGCATCCGTGAACATAAAGCTGACCTGAAACACGGTAGGACAAACACCTCAGCCGTGGCAGATCACTGTTACAACTCAGTGGGCTCACATGATATTGACTTCTCCAAGACAGAGGTTCTCTGCAAGCCATCTGGCTATCATGAGAGATTCGTTCATGAGGCGATCCACATATACAAACACAGAGACAATTTTAACCGAGAAGATGGATTCTG